TTTCTCTCTAACCTCCTTGGGGTGAGTTATGGTATTTATTAAATCATACATGAGTATATGTCCTTATTTATAATTTTCATCATCTCTTGACACATTCACTTTCAAGAATGGTCGAATTTTCATGATATTTATCACAAGTCACATTCTCTTCAATGAATTGACTATAATCATATATTCATGTTTCATAATTATTACTATTTTTTCATTAAAAGTTCATTGTCATGTTTTGAAATTTATTATATACATATGACATACACATACCTCAACATCACTTTTGAAAATCCAGTGTATCACCGCTTTTTCTTCCTCATCTTTGATGGAGGATTTATAAACTTATCAAATAGTTAGGTCTCATAACAAACATGTTTTTAATTACCTTTCATACCATTTTGATGACAAAAATTACCTTCACTCTTTAAAAGGTCATTTTGAGAACTCATAATGTGCTTTCTTTTATAATTATCACAATGATGACTATTATAATTTTTTCCTTCACGTCCATATTCATATGTTTAATCATAAAATTATCTTGTCATCTTTCAAACTTTTATTGTATTGCTATTACATTCACTTCAAAGAATGAAACATATTCAATGGGACGACCTTCACAATTTTTATCAAGAGCATATCGATTTGCTCAGTCATCATTATATCATCAATATATTGCATTGGAACTTTAACCCAATGTCTTATTTGTATAAAGACGTGCAGAGGCGGATCCACGTATATCCTTGAGGGTGCACGTGCACCCGTTAACTTTGGAAAATTATGTATATATACGTGTATATATGTACACCTTGAGATAGACATATATTGTATTAGGCACTCAAAGACACAAAAGTCAATTGGGTTAGCTGGTTTAGACGTTGTACTTCATTGAGGAAGGGACTGCGTTCAAATCCCATTTGCTTATTTTCTTGTTTGTTTCTTCGTTTTTAGCTTTTAAAAATTTGAATAAAATAAGGGGATAGTCATTTAATTTATTTATACATGAATATCGTAGTTTTGTATATTTATGTTTAATAAAATTAACATAGAAACCAGTATTGGGTACATACTTTAACTAACGTGCATTACCGTTGGTGGTGCACCCGTCGTCTTCAAATCCTGGGTTCGCCTCCGATTAGGCGTGTTAGGCCAAAATATGATGGACTTGAACCCAAAATTTTATAATCATGCATGATTCATCGAGATTTGAATCGATATCTTACCCTTTTGATGCAATGAAACTTGAATCAACCATCTTACTTTAATCAATGACATTAAATATAGTCCAAAATAAAATTCATCCTTGATCCTTTAAGATATTATTATTTCATCGCTATAGCTACAACTGAATTTAACCATAATATCACTTCAATAGCCATAGAATATTACTTACCACAGCTGGATCCCTACGAAGAAATAATTTGGATATCATAGGACTTTAATATTTTTTGTGAATTTTCATAAGATTTTCTTTTATTGTACAAATAATCAATATAATTTTTAAAGCAATAAAAATATCTTCATAGAGAGGAATATAAATAAATCAGCATGTATTTAAAAATTAGATTAAATCTTTAAAATCACATTAGAAGAATTTCTTTTGAAAAAACACATAAATCGTAGTCCCTGTTAAAGTTAACGAAACCAACTTTTACCATTTCATTTTTTTTTTTTATTGTGATATAAATTTCGTTAAGAGTCCACTAAATACAATTATTACCATAATTAAGGCATCATAAAATACCTTGCAACACCTGGCCGTTTCAGTACTTTGTTGTAAAGATAATATTACTTTAGCTTTAGATATAACTTTGAAGTGGTGGAATAGACAACTTTAAACTTTAAATTTAATGATACAAACAGTAACAAAATCATTAAATAAACTCTATTATATATAAATATATACGTGAAGAAAAAATAGTACAGACTTCAGGGCATCAAAAAAGCATATCACTGATTCTTGATCAATGAGCTAGGAAATTTGTATTGATAACGTGTTATAAAATAAAATATGTGTAGTAAAATAAAATGACAAAAAGAAAATGGGAGAAAGTAGTAGTAGTACGTAGTTGTTGTTTTTCTCTATTATTGAATGCTTTTTTTCCTTACTCTTACCTTATGTTACAAGTAGAGGGCTATATATATATATATATACTTGGGCTCCAAATATAATACATGGATATCTATTTGTCATGTAAATACTTGTGCACCAAGTATATTATATGGAGGATTAGGTTACAATACATAGAATGTTGTGTTCATATCCATCTTACACACAATGTATATTGTGTACATGTATGTCACAAAAAATATATTACGTGTACATTTATGTTACAAAAGTATACTTATGTGGACATCCATTTTACAACAGTTATTATTTTATATATTTGCTAGTATAATTTAGTTACATATATTATATGAATTTTATACGTAATTATATACATTGATACGATATTTGATTTTTTGATTATTTTTTTTTATAAATATCAATTTCACTGTTATATTAAATATTTACCATATCATGTCCTTGGTTGGAGTTGACAATGGAAAAATAATGTAATTGAGATGCTTTTTTGCCAGTGTTTAAAGACAAAAAAGTACGTAAGAGTGTCCAGTGTTGTGTAAACGACTTCTGTGAACACCAAAAGCTGTTGTTTGTAATGAAAAATCACAATCATTCATGACAGCCCTGCATATACACAACACATTGTATATGTCTTTCATTTTTCTGTTAAAACCCTTTTGTTTTTTTTTCCTCATAAGCTACCCCAAACCCTAGCTAGTACTACTCTTTCATACACCCCACTTAATTAAATATTCCAGCTTATATATTTAAATATCTAAGCTGGTATTATATATATATATACCTCTATGGTCGAGCGCAACTATGCGAGTCGTAATGCTTTTCATTTCTCTTTTCTCCATTAGCTACAAGTTTTTGCTTGGATTAGGCGCGCACGGCATAAGTTAAATTTAGTGACTAAAATTCAAAAAAACCAAGGAAAGTTTCTAACTATGATTTAGATAATAAATACATTATATATTTGATTCCAAAAATTATTGTAATCCTACCATCTTAGCAACATATTATCTTATCTATAAATATAATACTAAAAATATTATTCTCTTTCTATTTTTTCTCCTTTCCAGTATTTTATCGTTCAGTTATTTTTTTATTAATATTTAATAAATAATAATTTTTTTTCTTTTTTTTGTTAGTTCGCGTACTTACTAATAAAAAAACAATTGGACAAAAAATACTACATAGGGAAAAAAAAGTAAGAGAGATTTTTTTGTTACTTTATTTATTGGATATGATAATATGTTTCTTAGACCATGGGATTATAATAATTTCTTGGAATTAAAGATACATTGTATTTATCATCTAATTATGGTTATGTATAGATATATTTTTTTAATTATAATTAAATCTTAGCCATGAAATTTAACTTGTCCTCAATTCAACCAAGAACTTATAAGAATTACTTTGTCAAGGCAATAGCGTAAATGAAGTGTACTGGTTTAATTAAGAAGTAACTTAACATTTTAAAGCTACAATCGGATAAGGTAATCCTTAGAAAAAAACTTATCCGCACTAAGTGTATATATCAAGCCAATGCAATTTGCATTGTTACATAATTTAATGAAGTAAAATACATGTTAATTAATTATGGTTAAGTAAAATGAACTATAAATTTATGCACATGGCATACATATATTGACTTAGTGTATACACCCGGTGCAGATAAGTTTTACCCGTAATCCTTCCTAATCTTCATTATCTGTCAGATTTATTTTTCCCTTTTATATTTTTTTCATAATAAAGGGATAAACCGCGCAACCTTGAACTTCAACCAATCGATCGGTCACGAGTCATTTGGCTTTATCTCAATTCAACAAAACTAACAAGACATGTACGATATATTGTTTCCAAATAAACAAGAAATTAAACAGAAAAATGGTTACTGATAACATCAAGGCTGAATAAATAAGAAAAGAAATTTAACACTTTTTTGGAGAAATTTCCTCTGTCCCAGTTTATTTGATTTTTTTTTTTAATCTGTTTTAAAAAGAATGATTCATTTCTACATTTAGTAACAATTTAACTTTAAAATAAAAAATTTATCCTTAATAAAATGATTTATAATCACATAATATATTGCTTATTTAAAGCCACAAATTTCAAGTTTTCCTAAACTCCGTGTCAAATCAAATTGACTCATATAAAATGGGGGGGAGGGAGTAATACTAGTAGTATACTTACACAACTAGATACTCTCTCCGTTCCTATTTTATATGTCATCATTTTTTATTTCACATGCATTAAAAATTAAGTAAGTTTACTATTCTATCCTTATTTAATTTTTTTGGAGTAAACTTTTCAATCAATGAATATGAATTAATTTATTTTGATTAATTAATTTGGTCAAATAATGTATATTTTCAAGACTAATAACTCACAAGGGTAAACTAGGAAGAATATTGGAATTTATGCATTGATTTTATGAAATGACAAATACTTCCTCTGTCCACTTTTATTTGTCATGTTGCGCTGTTCGAAAGTTAATTTGACTAATTTTTAAAGTTAAATAGATTACATTAATTCAATATTTTAAACAAAAAAAGTTATTCAAAAACTATACGAAAAGTACTATAAATTGCAATTTTTTGCATATCAATATGATGAAAAAATACATGTAAAATGTTGCTCAAATTTCTTATAATTTGACTCTAAAAAGGAAATTATGACAATTAAAAATTGACGGAGTGAGTATTATGGTTGAACTATTTATAGTGATGATGACATATAAAAATAACAGATTACATGTAAAAAAACAATGGAGGGATTATATGAAAAAGTGAGTGAAGATGGCTAATTCATATGAATTATTAAATTATGATCTTACAAACGATCATCACAACACAAAAGCATACTATTTAATTTATTAATCCTAATATTTCTTATTAATAAATTTTGTGACTCAATTTACTCTCATTCTTGCTAACACTCATATAATTAATAAGTATTAATCTTCCTAGTAATTATTATAATCTCAAACACAAACTCTCACTTGAAAGAAGTCTAACTAATTAGCCATGAACAAGGCCACTTGAGAGTGCCATTAGGAGGATTGCTGCTTCCTTCTCATCTTGTGGGAAAATTTGTTGGAAAGCCAACTGGTTGCTCAAGTTTATCAACAAGTCTTCAAAACCAAGTTTCTTTGGTGCATTATTAGTACCAGAGGAAGAAGGACCCAATTTGCACCTTTTCTTGAAGGGTGTAACATGATTGTTAGTTCTAACTTTTGTTATATTTGGTTTGTGTTGTTGTACCTTTATCTTCATTGCTGTTTGATGATCAGCTTTCCCATTTGCTGCTGCTGCCATTGCTCGTCTTGCCTTCCTTTGTCGGATTCCACATGCGTTACACAATGACTGTAAACATCATTTCAGATTCAGTACGTACGAATTTTAACATTGCCAAAGAAAAATTGTCCTTGTATATGTTTAACTTTAGTACGAATTTTAACAAGATGAAAATAACAAAAGATCTGTTTTCGATGACTATCTCATCTGGATAGAAGCTCAAGTTGTTAGAGAAAAATTATGTTTCTCCGTCTTAACACAAGTGAGCATGATTCTTTTTTCATAGGCCAAAATTATGAAACATGTTTGTTTTCTTTTTCTTTTTAAGATAAAAGGCAGTGAGATTTATGTCAGAATCTAATTAAATTATAAAAATGTGCTTTCTCTAACAGTTTAAGTTTTTAGATGAGGTAATCATACTCTTCAATTGTGGGATCAAAAAAAGAATCAGGTTGTATTGAAAATATATACAACTAAATAATACAAGTGTACTCTCTAACCGCTTAATTAAGTTGTTGGAACACTTCAAGCAATTTGAACCAAGAAGTCTCTCTAAAAGAGTAAAAGTTAAGGAGGGTAAAAATACACATACATTTAACATGTATAATTGGAGTAAAAAAACAAAAAAAGATTACCTTAGGTCCTTTAGGACCACTTCTCCAAAGAGGGGTCTTAGTAGTGCTACAATCAGTACAAACCCTAATAGGTATATTGTTGGAGCTGTAATCAGTATGTATAGGTTGTTGCTTTTGATCTCCCAACTTTAATTTGATGCAAGCATTCTTGGTGGTATTTTTCTTTCTTTCTTGATCCAAGTCTTTTATCTCTGAAGACATGACTAACTTGTCTTCTCTCTTCCACAAGCTCAATTTGAGGCCACTTCCTCCCTTGTTTTTCTTCCCTAAATCATATGACGATCCACCATCATTATCAACCTATAAATCCACAAACAAAAACATCCGAAAAACACACTCAACATTAATTACTTATTCTGAACCCGAACAACAAAATCCAAGTGATCTTGGAAAAAATTGTAGTACCATAGTAGTTTTTTTTTTTTTGGAGATAAAAGTAACACATGATCAAACATGAGGGGGAAAAAAAGAGATCCTTTTGTTGTATGTACCTCAAGTTGATGCTCATGTTGCATATAGTATTGGGTATGTTGATGATGAAAACTTGCCGTTTGATTGGTAGTTGAGTTGAAGAAAAAGTGATTATAGGATGAGTGAGAAGAAGAAGCTTGATAATTAGGGGTAACAAGAGAATTGTTGAGATCATTGTTGTTATTATTTTTGAGGCCAAAAGGGAAATTAGGAGTTATGTGATCAGGTGGAGTCATGGGGAAAGTGATCAAGAAGAATGAGATAGATTGATTAAGAGGGAGATATTGGTTTGAGGAGTTGATCTTAAAAGAAGAGTCTTTTTTAGTCCAAGGAGAGAGAGGCTTAGACATTCACGTGACTTCAGGACAACTAAACAGTTTTAAAAGAGACAAAACAAAAGGAAATAAGAGAAGAATACTACCACTCGACTCAACCCTATCTTCAAAACATTACTCTACATCCCAAATTTATATAGCAATAAAATAAAATGTCATAAAATTTTGTTTTTTTGGTAAGTAAAATTTATTTACCAAGTGAATGTTACAATTCAGAAAACTCAGTGGGTATGGACATAAGCTCCCTCATTGCTAACCTCAAGAAACATAACTCACTAGCAGGGGCGGACCCACGTTGTATCCAGGTGAACCCCCTCGACAAAAAATTACACGATATATATAAGGTAAATTTTTTGTATTTCTGTAGATATATATATTTTGAACCCCCTAAATAACAAAGAGAAACTGATGGCGCAGTGGCAAGTACCTCCAAAATTATGTTGTACGTCATTGGTTCAAATCCCAATGAAAGCGTTTTCAGTTCTTTTTTTCAAGTTTTTTTTAGTTCTTTTTTTACTTTGAAAAATGTGCTAAAAGTTTGGTTTTAAACCCAAAAGAATTCAAGGTTTCCATTTCTAAAGACTTATTTACACGTTTATACTTTTATTTTTCGAATCCCCTGAACGAAAATCCTGGATCCGCCACTGCAGTCACTAGCTACCCTTTACCGATACATGCATATTTAAAGCATGTAGCCTAGTAGCTAATTTAGGATATCTACTCCCTCTTCCATGTGTGTCCTGAATGATATGCCCAACAATTGTGCTTGATAGCTGCTTCTTCTGTGTGAATTTCCTACTATTGCACTCTAGCCATAAGTAATAAAGTGAACTTGCTATTGCCAATTTGTAAACAAGGGTTGTGCTGCCTTTCCCCTTCATATACTTAATAATTGCCCATTGAACTTCAGTTATCTAGTGCATTGTGCTTCTGTTGATTCCTTGCCAAGTATTTTCTTCCACATTTATGTAGTATATGAACATTGAAAGAATAGATGGTTGAGGTCCTCATTCAGCAGCTGACATAGAGGGCGTATAGGGGACTATATCACACCCCATTTAGCCAGTTTATCTTTAGTCTCAAACCTTCTATTTACTGCTAGGTACATGATAAACAACCATTTAGGAGCTCTCATATTTGTCCCGACCAGTGAACTCCATTTTGCCTACTCCACTGTACCCACCCCTCATCTGCATATACTCTTTGCCAATGGAGTATTTTTTTCCATGTTTTTTATACATGCTTTAGTAAAACAAACCTGTTGGAGATGTTAAACAACTTTTAGGATTCTTTGAACTACCCAAGAAGTCTTCTTTGCTTGTATGTTTCACACACCATTCTTCCCATAATAGTTGTGTATCCAAGCAACTCATAGCTTGTCTTTAGTCTGGTATAAATTCCATAACAACTTCCCAATTGCAGCCTTATTCCATGTATATATTGTAAGAAAGTGCAATACTCCATTTGACTTGAGACTATAGAGCTTATCCCATGCAATCAAAGCCTTCATTGAAGTCTCAATATTTCCAGTCTATATGAATCTCCTACACATAGCCTCCAGAGTTTGAATAATGTTCTTAGGTAAGGAAAGTATTTGGGACAAGAACATTTGGATAGCATACAATACACTCTTGATGAGTTGAGTTTTTCCTTCATATGATAAGAATTTGGTGGTCCATCTTGTGATTCTACCTAGCATATTCTCCAATAATGGTTTGCACTGAACTAAGGATACCCTTTTAGTACTTAAGGGACTCCAAGGTATCTGAATCAGGGGCGAATCTAGGATTTGGAGGTCGTGGGTGCCACAACGTTCAAGTAAGACAAAAGGATCGGTTACTTTAATTTGGGTTACAATTCAGGTTACTGATATTTTTTATTTTTATAAACAAATCGATCAAATATGCATGTTAGTAGTATTTTCTTTTAGATATTTTGAGATTAGAGATAACTAAACAATTCAATTTTTTTCCCTTTTTGGAATTAGATGTCTTATTCGCTGAAACTTTGAGAAAAAAAAGATTTTTCACATTAAAATTTGAGCTTGTATAAACCATCTAATAGTATTAACATAATATATTCATATTACATTGACTTTATGTGTTGTTGGAGATATATAGTAGGGGAAGAATAAAAATTGTAGTTTCTGCCTAGTCATCTTACTTAGCAAGAAAGTCGGTGAAGATGTGAAAGAACCTTTAAAAAAAATTAAAAAAAGCTCTAATAATAATATTCATCATTTTTAAAACATATTTTTAAAAACTACTATTTAAATATATTCTTAATAATATTTATTTGACGTTCATAATTCAGTACTCATTAATTGATAAAAATAAACATGTAACACCCATATCAAAAGATTAATAATTAGTGCAAGAGAAAGTAAAAAAAAAAATTAATCATGAAAAAGAGTCAATTTGAATAAATAAAGAATAGTAAATAAATAAGAATGAATGGAGAAAAATAAAATTAAGCCCTTTACATACTAATGAAAAAGACAAAAAAGAAGAACTAAAAATTAATCATGAAAATGAGTCAATTTGAATTAATAAAGAATAGTAAATAAATAAGAATGAATGGAGAAAAAAAATAATTTAAGCCCTTTACATACTAATGAAAAAGACAAAAAAGAAAAGTAAAGAAGTAAAGGAGCAAGCAAAAAAATAAGTGTTGGCAATGAGGTTCGAACCGGCGTTGGCTGTATGGTAGACCAACTCCTTCGCCAATTGAGTTGTTCCGCATTTTAGTCACTGGGTGGCAAAAGTAATATATATTGAATTATTATGAATTTATACATATATAAACGATGTTTTTTCCGAGATCACTGAGTGTCGTGGCACCCCCACCTGTCCACGTAGATCCACCCTTGATCTGAATGACAGTGCCCGCTTGACAAATTGTAGTTCTTCTAGTATATTTTGTCTGAGCTCTTGCTAAACTCCATCAAAGTAAACATTACTTTTCTTTATATTTGCAACCAGACCTGAAGTCTGAGAAAATTTTGTAAAAAACTATACATACTCTTCACTAATCTTATATCTCCTCTGTAGAACATCAGCGAAATTCAATTGCACTATTTTTTGACTTTACATCTAAGGTGGTAATGGAAGTTAGGATCTGTCTGCAAAACTCTTAAAAGTTCTTGTCAAGTAGTTGATTGCTAATACAAATAAATAGGGGGACATCGGATCCCCTTATCTTATCACTCTCCTTGCTTTGAATAGTGTTGTACTGTGTCTATTGATCTGAATGGAGTATGTGACTATTGTAATACATTGCATTATCCACTTAATGACTCTACTTGGAATTTTGAGTCCCTCCAATATCTTCTCCAAAAATGTCCATTCAAGAGAATCATATGTATTTTTCTTGTCAATTTTAACCATACACCTTTTAGAGATCCCATGTCTCTCAGATCCTTTCACATTTCATGACTCAGTATCACATTGTCATTCAAAAGCCCTTCCTGGTACAAATGTTAATTCGGTAGGATCTACAAAACTCTCCATGAATAAATTTCAACCTAGTAGTGATTACTTTTGATATAACTTTGTATAATGTTGAGCAACATGAAATTGTTAAAAAGTACTTTAAAAACTTGGGAAAAATTTCTCAACAATTTTCTCACAATATACAAAAAGTTAGAATTTCCATTACCTATCGAATTGAAGGTTTAAAAGTCTAGTTCAAACTCTCTTAACTGTTTGCCATACAACTTCAAAATATAGAGATATTTATGTTTTTGAGAGACAACACAACCAGACACCTCGATATGGGTCTCCCTTGCCCCTAATTCGGTGGTCTTTATAAAATACCACCTTCTTCATAGTTTTTCCATAAGAATTTGATGAAAACCCAAAAAAATCATAATAAAAGCTTCCAAATACTCCATAGATGTTAAGTTTCTTAACTCAAAAGTTTAAAGCAAATTTCTCTATGTTGCAAGCTCATCATTATGGTATAGTTTTCTTATTTATTTAAGCTTTGTTTGTTGTTGCTGCAAAGAGGGTGCTTTTTCAACATCATATTTTAAGAATTTTTATTAAGGTAATCTTCTTCTTACCACCCTTTCTTGTAATTTCATGTCCTAGTATCATTTTTAATGATTTACAAGACATGGGGTGGTGTGTTTGATATCGTGGCCATGGGAAGCCACTTTGTCTTTTTAGTTTGGCTATTATGTTTGTGTATTGGGGGTGTTAATGTACAGAAGAGAATGAGGGTCAGTGTAATTCTTATTGCAGTCACATACGATGGTTGTTGGATTGAACTTTGTGAAGTACGCCTTGTTATGTTGCCTCAGGAGATTGTCTCTCCTTTGAAATGTTGTTAGAAAATCTTCACTGGATTTAGCTGATGTTTATTGTTGTTATTGGCCTCATTTTGTGTTGTGGGTTGGAATGGCCACAAGTGTGGCATTAGCGCCTTATCGATTAGTTATGACTCAGTCTTGCAACCTTATTGGTTTTTGCATTGTTGCATTACTTTTGGTAGGTCAAGCTTCACAAAGACACCTTTGGCACTTTGGTTGAAAGGTATGTAAAGTCTTTAATTTCTCTTTTACCATGATCTTAATAGCCTAAGTTTGTTACGGTCAGTATATTGTCACTGTTTGACTTGCTGCCTTATCCTATTGAGTTGGCTACCACAATATGATATAATGTCTATCAACAACACTCTACTCGTTGCTTAGTAGCCTAGAAAAGCATGTTATGATTATGTTTTGATTGATTATGATTACTTTCTACTGTTGTGATATTTTATCGTTTGGTTGCTGCTTATGAACTTATTTTGGCCTCAATAGACACTAACATTGCGGGGTTCTTGAGAATATAGATTGATGTGTCGTACTATACCAATGTGTAAGTTAGATTGTGCCTATGGTCCAGGTAGACTGTACAAACAGGTCGGGTAGATAGTGTCTATGTGTTGGGTAGACTATACCTACTGGATGGGTAGGTTTTACCGAGGGGTTAACATATATGTACTGTATGACGGAGCCTCAAATTTTATTTGTTTCATGGCATATGCGCATTTGGATAGTTCAAATTATATTATCATTGGTATCCAAGTAAGGGTCTAATATGAGTATTTATTGACTATTTGCACTCGTTAGAACTTATAGAGATTGTGTGATGTTTGTACTCGTCGGACTTATGTGGGATAGTTCATTTATTGGTTGCTATGTGTTACTTTTGTCTTATAGGAAGACAAGGTATTACACTTCTGTTTCACCCTTTATACTTCAGGTTCAGTTTTTATTTTGTATTACATGCTCGATACATTATTTTTTATTGATATCTATTTTCTGGGGCTTTGCATCCATGCTTAAAGGTCATAAGTGATAACCAAACAGACCTATCGAGTAGTACAACTGCCTATCTAGTTAATAGGTTGACTCCTTTCTTTCATGGTTTGCTAGAGTCTCCAAGATTTTCTTGTTTTGTTGTCTATAAAATTTGGGTAGGTTAAGCCATGTCCCATCCAAGTATTATATTTGTATAGGCTTGTAGACTAGTGTGTTGAATCATATATCTATGTTATTGTATATGTTGACCTGTTTTTCTAGTTAGCTGATGTTTAATACTTGTTTGATGTATCATTTTTTTTCAACTTCTGCATAGAAATTGTGGTGGCTTTGACGATCCAAATAACATTTATGCATTCCCTGATATCATGATGGCCTTGACATCCCAAATAGGTATAACACATCAGATATTGGTAAGCTGAGTTGGAAAGGAAATGTTGCAGAAAATGATCTGGTGCCAAGTTGCACAAGCATACCTACGGTCCGTAGAAGAACCTACAGCTTGTAGAAGGACGTAGTGGATTGAGTCTTGGAAAAGTTGAAATGTAAAGTCCCAGACATATGGACCAACAA